CCAAGCAGTTTTCTTTATTAATTAACCAATGAAAGCAACAGATAGATAAAGACCCTCCTACATCAGCCTAAAGAGCTGCATCCCACCCCTCAGTTTGAGGACCCTACCCAGCAGCCTGGGCCACATGGGAGTTTGTGAGCTTGGTCACCCCATCATCCAATCAGCATCTATATCCTGATGAGGTTAGGGAGGTTGGCATTCAGGAAGCATAAGACAGCCTGTCCAATTTTGTGGGCACCTGCTCTGGCCAGGCTACAGAAATGGCTCTGCTGTCAGGAAAACTGGGGTTCCCTTTGGGTTCTTTGTCTTGTTAGTAAAATAATCAAAAATAGACTCAGAAGGCAGCTAGAGAATGTTTTTCTCTTGAGGTTTGAGATAAAAATGACACAAACAAGAAAAAAAACCCAGCACTTTCCAGAGGATGAGAGATGGAGAAGTTACGTCTTTTAAACTAGATATGGACCCCCACAAACACATACACACAGAATCAGAGAAGAATGGGAATAAAAAGGACCTGAGCACAAGCTTTTCTTCTCTGATTGTGTGTGTGTGTGTGTGTGTGTGTGTGTGTGTGTGTGTAGGTCAGAGTGTCCATCCTCAAGAGCCATACCCATTTTAAGAATTATTCTTAATTTGATTTTTAGACAGGTTCTCTCACTGGCCTAGAACTCACCACTCAGGGTAGGCATCCATTGGTCTCCACCATGACAGTTCTGAGATTACAAGCATGCACCATCACACCTGACTTCCTCACATGGGTTCTACACGTGCAAGGGAACACACACCACCCATAAGCTTCAGCTTAGATCTAGGAGAACTCCTAAATTAGATTCCTCCCTGCCCTTTTAACTTCACTGTTTCTGTTTCACCTGGGGGCAGATCTGGCAGTCTTCATGGCAACTGAAGAAAGAACTCAGTAACTTCATGAGTTGGGGCCAGGACATGAGCCTTTTAGTGGGAGCGTAACAATTTGTTAGGGATACCAGTGGTCTTGAGGAGAGCTGGAACTAAGAGACAAGGTGCTGGCACCTAATGGGTTGACCGATGACATGATGTTACTGCACACCAGAGAGACCAGGGTATGCCCAGTCCGGGTGGAAGGTTTCCAGTCTCCTGCAGAGATGTGACCTTGGTTCCTGGGATTTCCCAACCTTATTTTGATCCCATTATTGAGTGTCCTCTGCCCTGGGACTGGACTGGTTCCAGCAGGCTGGCTGCCAGAGCCTCAAACATACACCCTCCATATGGAAGTTCCAGGAACCTAGGTGTATTTATGATACACCCCCTGGACTTGGTTCTGCTGTAAATGCCTTGGGCTGAGTCATTTGGATGCACTAAAAGGCAGCTGCATGAACAAGGCACCACCATAAGGCCAGCTGAGACCAATTAGGCTGCATCAGCACTGAGAAGGAGAGCCCTGCCCAAGCAACAGTTTCTGTGGTCCCACCAGAAGCCTCTAGAGTTGCTCAAAGCTAATTCAGATCTCAGTGAGTGCAGCTCAGTCAATCCCTTTGGAAATGGGGGCGGGCTGGCTGTTCTTTATGCCCCTGTGCCCTTTATGCTGGTCTTCCCGTTCCCTGTATTATCCTCGGGCTGTCTGTTGAATGGCATTTGTTCCCTGAGTCTTAGGTTACGTCAGGGGTTGTGCTGTAGATGAATTTATTGGGTTTGGGTACTCCATGATCACTTGTCTTCAGTATCCATCTAGTTGAGATCTCTGTAATGCTACCTGTCAGTTGCAAACAAAGTTTCTTTGATGAGGGGAAAGGGCTACACTTATCTATGGGTATAAATTTACATATTTAGCATGAAGTTAGAAATTATGCTGATATAGCAAAATGGCTAAATTAAGTTCTTAGATCCAAGACCTCACTATCCCTGACGAGTAGGCTAAATTTCCAGTACCAGGCATGATTTCCCTCCTTCTGAGTGGGCCTTACGTCAGATTAGAGAGTGGTTTGTTACCGCCAAGGTACGAGTGCCACTGTCTTTTCTCCAGTGAATATTTTTGGTATCTTTGCTAAATTTCAGATGACTGTATTTCAGACACTCACACTTGTGTCTTCTGTTTTGTTGTGTTGATCTACATGTCTGTTTTTGTGCCATCATTATACTGTTTTGTGCTATTTTACTGTAACTCTGTAATATATCTTGAGATCTAGAATGGTTTTTTTTTGCATTTTTTTTTCAGAATTGTTTTGGCACTCTGGGGTCTTTTGTGGTTCCATATGAATTTTAGGATTTTCTTTATTTCTCTGAAGAATGTTGTGGGGTTTTTGTTGAGTTTGTATTGATTGTATTCTGTAAATTCAGAAGAATGGTTATATTTTTACAATATTACTTTTACCAATTGGTTAACATGGGAAGTTTTTCTGTTTTCTAATGTCTTCTCTCAATCAATTTCTTCAGGGATTTAAAGTTTTCCTTGTAGGGGTTTTCCATCTCCTTTGTTAGGTTGTCGAGGTTTGAATGGCCCTTATAGGTTCACATATTTGAATGCTTGGTCCCGAGTTAGTGGAACTGTTTGGGAAGGGTTAGGAGATGTGGCTTTGTTGACGAAGGTGTGTCACTAGAGGGCAGCTTTGAGGTTTCCAAAGTTCATACCAGACGGAGTTTCTCCCTCTCTCTACAGTCTCTCTCTGACTCCTACTTGGGGCTCAGATGTGAGCTCTCAGCTACTGCTCAGTGCCATGCCTGCTTGCCAGCTATCATGTTTCCTGCCTTGATGCTTATGGACTAACCCTCTGAAACTATAACCAAGACCCCAAATAAATGCTCACTTTTAAAAGTTGCTTTGATTGTGGTGTCTCTCACAGAAATGGGACAGTAACTAAGACAGAAGTTGGCACCAGGGACTGGGATATTGCTGTGACAGGTCTTATCACGCTTTTGTTTGGAGAAAACACTTTGGAACTTTAGACTAGAAAATCAGTTAAATGCTTTAAGTGGGGCTTAATGGGCTGCCCTAGTAGAAGCAAGGTACTGAAACATGTAGTTTGAGAGCAATAAGGATTGTGGAGCCAGAACAAGAGGTTTTAGAGAGGGACAATAATAGCAGCCAGGCTACAGACCATTCTCTCTCTCTCTCTCTCTCTCTCTCTCGCTCTCGCTCTCGCTCTCTCTCTCTCCTCTCTCTCTCCTCCTCCTCTCTCTCCTCTTTCCTCCTCCTCTTCCTCCTCCTCCTCCTCTCTCTCTCCTCTTTTCTCCTCCTCTTCCTCCTCCTCTCTCTCTCCTCTTTCCTCCTCCTCTTCCTCCTCCTCCTCCTTTCTCTCCTCTTTCCTCCTCCTCCTCCTCTTCCTCCTTTCTCTCTCTCTCTCTCTCTCTCTCTCTCTCTCTCTCTCTCTCTCTCTCTCTCTGTATGTGACTGTCCTGGAACTTGCTCTGTAGACCAGACTGGCCTCAAACTCACAGAGATCTGCCAGCCTCTGCCTCCTGACTGCTGGGATAAAAGGCGTGTGCTACCACTACCCAGCTACAGTCCATTCTGGTGCTATTTTGGTAAAGAATGTAGCCCCTTTTTGTCCTTGTCCTAAAAACCTGCTTGAGGCTAAATTAAACAGTTCATGAACTAATGTCATTGGCAGAGAAGATTTCAAGATAACCTTATATTGACCAGGTCATGTGGTTATTAGTGACCTTTCTTATGTAGAACTACAATAAAAAAGGAGCAAGAGGGATAAAAATAAACACAAATATAGTTTGAAGGGATAAAGAGCACCAGGAAATGCAATGTTGGAACCAAGCCTTGTGCCCAAAGAGATGAGAAATTAAAAGAAAGGCCTGATAATGAATGTAATAAAGGGAGCGGTATCTTCAGGGAGAAACTCCACCTAGCTAAATCTGTAATCTCTGCAAGGCAAAGGCTCAAGGCCACCTAAAAACAAAAACCATCAGCAGGTCCAAGCTTATGCCACCTGTAAATCATGGAGGGACCCAGCAAGCCCAAGCAAGCAGAAGAATTGGACAGCACCAGCCAGAACTTCGTGGCTTTAATAAGGAAAACACAAGTGGACAGGAGTTGTGAGATCTTCCTCTGTAGTTAAGGACAGCATCTGAGGACAAGCCTGTGGCAGGAGAGTCCTGGCATGGAGGCCCCTGAGAGGCCATCACATGAAGCTGTGAAGGTGAAATCTGGATTGTGTTGGAGACCCCAAGATGTTGGAAATGCCAAAGCCATGGGCTACCTGACAAGAAAAGCTGCAGGCTGGGTATGTGTGGAACTAGCCCAAGGGAAGGAAGTGTGCTGCAATCAATTAGCCTGGAAGGAGTGGGAGATATGGAGAGGTATCTAATAAGTCTCTTGACATTGGGCACAGAGATACAGAATTTGGAGTTTGCCCTGCTGGGTTTGGTTTTGCTTTGGTCTGGTATTTCCTCACTCTGTCCCCTTTCCTCTGTTTTGAAATGGAAAAGTATATTGTGTGCCACTGTACGTTGGAAGTATGAAATTGGTTTTTGATTTTACAAGGGACTACAATTAAGAGACTGCATGAGTCTCAGAAGAGACTTTGGGCTTTTAGACTGTGAAGGACCATGGGGACTTTTCAGTTGGACCGAATACATTTTGCATGATGATGTAGCTACAGATCTACGTGGGTCAGGGAGTGGTGGTATTGATATGAATGAATGAGGCTCATATATTTGAATATTTGGTTCCCAGTGGGTGGAACTGGATCAGGAGGCATGGTCTCATTGGGGAAGGTGTGTCACTGGGAGCAGGCTTTGAGGTTTCAAGATTCCCATCAATGCAAATTTGTGCAACCACCATGGATATCAACATGGTAGCTCCTCAGAACATTGGGAATCGATCTACCTCAAGATCCAGATATACCACTTTTGGGCCTATACCCAAAGGAGGCTTTAAGGACACTTGCTCAATCATGTTCATTACTGCTCTACTCATAATGGCCAGAAACTGGAAACCTAGGCCTCCCTCAACGGAAGACTGGATAAACAAAATGCGGTGGACTGACACAATGGAGTATTACTTAGCGTTTTTATTTATTTTTTGTTTGTTTTTAAATAGACATTATGGAATTCTCAGGCAAATGGATGGAACTAGAAAAAAATCATCCCGAGTGAGGTATCCCAGGCCCAGAAAGACAAATACTCTCTATGTATTCATTTATATGTGGATTTTAGCTGTGAAGTCAATGATAAGAACCACAGAGGTTAGGTGTTGAGGGAGAGATTAGGTAGGGGGACACATAGATCTCCCTGGGAGGGGGAAAAGAATATATTTTACAGGTGAACTGGGGGCAGGAGGGGATGGGAACAGGAGGATCAGGTGGGGATAGGGAGAGGAGATAGGGTTGAGAGAGGGAATTCGAAGAGATACAGTTGGAATTGAGGGGCATTTGAGGGACAGTATGGAAACCTAGTGCAGTCAAACCTCCTAAAATATATGAAGATGGTCCTAAAGAAGTTGAGTTGGTGCCTACATGGAGCCTTCACCCCGACACTCTAGGTACTCTGCAGGCTACCGAAAGAGAAATGTTAATATCATCTTAGCCACAAAACCTTTGACCTACAATCTGTCCTACCTATAAGACGGTAGGGCAATGGTGGTACAGACCGTGTGGGAGTGGCCAGCCGGTGTCTGATTTGACTTAGGGCCCACTCCACAAGATGGAACTCATACCCAACGCCACTTGGGTAACCAGGAACCAGAGACTAGGTAGCCCAGAGACCTAGGGAAAAGCCAAATAATACTGCTTTTTAAAAAATATCAATAAAATGACTCCTAATGATATTCTGCTACACTCATGATCAGCGCCTTATCCAGTCATCATCAGAGAAACTTCCTCCTGCAGCAGAAGGGAACAGATGCAGAGACCCACAGCCAGACTTTATGCAGAGAAAGGCCTTGGAGCACACAGCCCTACATGGGATGTCTTCATCAAATCCTCCCTCTCAAACCTCAGAGAACCCTGAAGAAGAGGAAGCAGAAAGTTTGTTAAAACCCAGAGGGGATAGAGGACACCAGAAGAACAAGACCCTCTGAATTAACCAAGCAAGGCTCATATGAACCTATGAAGACCGCACAGGGCCAAAATGGGTGTGCACCAGTCCTCTGCATATATATTAGAGCTTTTAGCTTAGTCTAGTATGCTCCTGAGTGTGTGGATGAGTGAGCCTCTGATTCTTGTGCCTGTTCTTGGGGCTCTTTTCCTTTTGTTGGGTTGCCCTGTCCAGCCTCTGTGTGATGGTTTTTGTTTTATCTTATTATATTTTATTATTTTATCATGTTTGATTGCTACTGCTTAGAAGCCTGTTCTTTTCTAAAAAAAAAAAAAAGACAGAAAGAAAAAGAAAAGCAAAGGGAAGGAAATAAGAACACCATTGTGTGGGCTGAGCAAAGGGAAAGACTCAAATTTGAGGAGAGGATCAGGTTAGAATGGAAAGTTTATGCAAAGGACATGGGCAGGCAGTTTGAATGGGGCTTTGTGATGAAGGGCGTATAGTGTGTAATCAGGGTATTAATTCAGGAAACAAGCTAGGGAATTGTAGGAGGTTGCTTGTTCGTTTCCCAGCCAACCAGACCCAAATAATCACATAGAAACTACATTAATTGCAACCCGGTTTGACCAATGACTCTAGCGTATTCCTAGCTACCTCTTACATCTTAAATTAACCCATTTCTATCAATCTGTGTATCACCACAAGGCTGTGGCCTACCGGTAAGGTTCCTAAGGGTCTGGCATTTTCCTCTCCTTCGGCAGCTACATGGCATCTCTTTGACTCCTCCTACTTTCTCTCTATCTCTGTTTGGATTTCCTGCCTGGCTTTTTTTTTTTTTTTGCTCTGACATAGGCCCAAAGCAGCTTCTTTATTAACCAATGATAATAAAACATATTCACAACATACAGAGGGGAATCTCACATCAGGGAATTGTGGCACGTGCCTTTAATCCCAGCACTTGGGAAGTAAAGGCAGGTGGATCAAGCTGAGTTTGAGGCCAGCCTAGTCTACACAGTGAGTTCTGGGACAGCCAAGATCTACACAGTAAGGTCCTGTCTTGAAGGAAGAAAAAACAAAGGGGGGGGGGCAGGGAGAAGTAGAAGTCTGTTAGAGTGATACGTCAAACAAGCATGACAAACAACAACACTTTCATGATTTGCTGTTTATTTGCATATGACTCCTGTCTGATTTAGTACTAACATACATCATCCAATTTTATCTCAGTAGATACCACTATGATTGATTTACCGTGAGATGCTGCCAAGGAATCTTAGCTTCAGAGAACTTATGAAATGTCCCCAGCATGATCCCTTCGACTTGCCTGTGACCTGTTTGATTTCAACGTTCACAACGTTCTGAAGTATTTGTCAAACTACCACTAAACATTAAAGTGGACTCTGAGAATATTGCGAAAAATACAATAAAATAAAAATAAAAGACCCCTACCATCTCCCAGTTAGTTCTCTTTGCCTTATGCTTTGGGTCAATATGTAAACTCTCAACTACTGCTCCAGTTAAAAACAAAAACCAAAAACCTTGCTTATATAAGTTGCCTTGGTCATGATGTTTTATCGCAGCAATAGAAAAGTAACTAAACATGCAGTCACTTGAATTTGAAATATATTTAGGCTGTAATTTAGGTTATTGGCTCAAAGCCATGTCTTCCTCTCTGAAACACTCTGACTCCATTGGGAAAGGCTCCATGGTTAGATATAAAAAGACATCAGGTCCAGCACCTCACATCTGTCCACATCGTCCCAGCGCACCCATGCACCTTCTACCTCCTTTTGGTGTTGGTAGCTAGGGGATCCCTGCCACTAAAAAGGGTGGGATCTGCTTCCTGGAAGGCATTAAGAAGGAAATCAAGTCCACCAGAGAAACAAGGACAAACTCCCTCTGTATGCTGTGAATACCATTGGTTAGTAAAAACACTATCTTGTGCCTGCACGGGGAATAGAGGTAGGCAGGGAAAACTCAACTGAATGCTGGGAGAAAAAAAAGGCAGAGTGAGAGAGAAACCATGAAGCCCCACTGGAAGACAGACACCAGAACTTTAGCTGGTAAGCCACAGCCATGTGGCCATACGTAGATTAATAGAAATGGGTTAAATTAATATGTAATTCATATGTAAGGGTTAGCTAATAAGAAACTAGAGCTAATGAGTCAAGTAGTGATTGAATTAATACAGTCTCTATGTGCTTATTTAGGGGCTAAGCGGCCGGGAACCAACAAGTGACTCTCTCCTTTACACAACAGGCCAGTCCCTCTGGTGACGTGAATTTATGAAAGGAGAGGCTAAAGTGCCCATGTTCATCCAGATGAAGGAAGCAGACTTAGTCCAAAATGGTCTCAAAGTCTGTGCTTAGGGCTGGGTCAGCTGCAGCCTTGAGGATAGCCATTGTCGCCGCAGGGAGCTTCAGGCACAGCTGTTTCTGGGCTGCAACAGAGGACGTGTTTGAATTTCTTTCCAAAGAGGTGAGGTAGTCCCTTAGCCTACCTGGGTCAAGTCCTGGCCACATGTGGGCCAGGCGTGAGCAGGAGTCCCACCCAGATACACACCACCACCACTACACTGGGCACACAAGGACTGCAAGAGTGGCAGTACGGAAACAGATGCAGAGAAACCTCAGCATCGCTCCCTGAATCTAGAAAGCAGCAGAGCAGAGGAGGGGGTGAGGGGACCAGGTAAGGAACAGAAGGTTCCTGAGAGTGAAACATGTCATCCCATGGGCCTCTAGGGGGGTAAGAGGCAGAGTCAGAACAGAGGGAGCAGGCAGGCAGAAGTAGGAAGATGTGGTCTAGAAGCCCAGCTTCACGGCGCCCCCCCCTCCCAAGGGCTGCCCCAGCAGGCTCCTCCCCTGGCAAATGGAGACAGGCTTGGCGTCTACAGTCTGCCTTTGGGTTCAACTAGGCATTTGGTGTTCAAGGGTAGATTTGGGGGTCATTTGGAGGAGCTCACTTACCAGCCCTGAGAGGTCCCAGGAGACACCTGTAGACAGCAGAATGACCAGCCAGCTTGATCAGGAAGGCTTGGTAGCAGAGCCAACGAGCAGCTTCAAGAGGAAATAAGCCAGAGGCTCCCTTGGCCCCTAGTGTCACTCCTGGGGGAGCAGACGGAGGGTCAAGAACCATGGGCCACTGACCCTCAGGCCCTCCGACAGGCTTTCCACACCCTTCTGACCTGCTAGACCCAGGAACGACGGTCAGCAGCCTAGCGCCCGAGTGAGGGCAGGCTATCCAGCCCCTGCACAAGAACGCTGGCCCTGGTCTATCCACGCACCTGCATTCTTGACCTTCAGGACGGAGTAGCAGCAGGATGCTGTGCTGGTGATGATGCCCAGAAAGAATGCGGGGTTCTTCCTAACATGCTGGTCAAAGGGAAGCTGAAGCACGCATGCATGGAACCTGGGCAGGAGCCACAATGGCAGGGAAGGGCCCTTGGTGAGTATGTACATGCGTGTACACATGAATGAGCTCTTGTCTTTGCATACATGTGAACCACACACACACATTTATGTGCACCAGATGCACAGAACCATGTACACATGAACTACGTGTGAACACTCAGCATGTGTGTGTGCACATGTCTTCATACATGTGTACCGTCATATAACTAGTCTCTCCCCAGGTGCCTCATGCATGTCACCTCACATCACAGCAAGGGTAAATTGCCTGACTTTGAAATTGTGCTCAGTTTTCCACAGCACAAGCTTTTTCCTACACTCAGCTCCAGTGACTTGGGAGGTTACTTAGGAGGAGGCCAGACCCACAGTGGCATAAATCTGGTTTGTGGTTGGTGTGGCCATCTGTCAACTCCAGGCAGAACTCTGGCCTCTGCTACAACTCCATGCAGCACTTCCTGTGACTTTCATGAGTCACAGAAGCCAATCCCACCCGTACAGGAGACTTCAGAAGAAAGCTCTGGTCAGGTAGAGGATGCCACGCGGTCTGGCCTAACAAACCTGACTTAGGTGGGGGCATTTCACTACTTGAAACCTGGGAATGGATCCTACCGATCGGCCACCAGTCCCAGGTCTCAGGACCAACCAAGGACAAGACTATTGCAGAAGAACAAGCCATGGCTGCTTTAGGCTATGTCCTTGTCATGCCTTCTGGATGCAAGGCTGGGGACACTCAGCAATAGATCTGATTCTCTGGGTTTTGGAGCTCTGAATCCCCCTGCTTCTCTTTCCCATCCTATGCCTCCTGGGGTGCTTTCTTGGGGGGCTCTATACCCTAGCTTCCCCTCCTGTTTCAAGCCGGTCAGCCACAGGCTCTGATCAGCACCTAAGGTCACATAGGCTTCCGGTACAGGGAAACCAGAAGAGGTTCTCATCTGACAGATACAGAGCTGTGTAGAGACTTGGCTGATTCTGCTTTTTTCCTGACCCCACGTTAGTATGCCACCCAATCCAGGGAGCAACTAGTCAGCTCTTGTCTTAAGCTTGAAAGCCCCAGCAGACAGCATGGCTGAAATTTCTGGTCTGTGGCTCCCTCTAGTGGTGGCACAGACCCATGACTCACCTGTAGGCCTGCAGCAGGAAGATCTTGTAAACATTGATGCAGACGGTCTGCAGGCTGTTCACCTGGAGTCCCAACAGAAAGAGAAGCATCAGCAACGTCCCTCAGATCACAAATGAACACTTCCTGTGTGAGGAACCCAGGAAATCCAGCCAGGGGAGGAAGTAGGAGGGAGCAGGTGCCAAAGCCTACCACAGCGGCCCCTTCCAAACAGAGACTCTCTCTCTCTCTCTGTACTGATGATAGTATTGTCAAGTGATGGGGATGAGCAGGGTAGATGCTCAGGGGACATACAGATGTCCACACACTCTTCACACACACACACGCACACACAGGCACGCACACACATGCACACACTCGCATGCACACGCACACACACGCACGCACGGTTGCCCTCGACACACACACACCTCTCCCTGCACGTGCCCCCACACGAAGAACAGGACCTGCACAAGGGTTCCACAGACGACGTGGCTGCCCATCTGCTTACCTGCAAGTCTAGAAACAGACTGTGACACTTCAGCCGCAAAACAGCTAAGAGCTTGTGCCGCATGTTCCTCCCGGCCTCGAAGGTGCGCTGGAAGGTGAGGCTGGTCTTAACTGAGGTCTGGGCGTAACTGCAGCACAAAGACATCCTGCCTGTGTGATTCCCACATCAACCCCTCTTCTGAGAGACCAGCACCGATGCCCTTCCACCCCCTGTCCCTCTCTGCTACACACTGAGGGCTGAGACAGGGATGGACCTTCACACAGGGAACACATTCCAGCTCTTGGTACATGCTCACAGCACCACATGAAGCCCTGGACAACCCAAACCTAGCCAGATATAGTGAGCAACATCCGTTTTATCCAAGCTTAGCATCACCAGACATCTTTGCTCATCAGTGGCAAATAAGAGCCGGCAAAACCCACGGTTTAGAAGGAAATATAAATCATACAGGAAATCACAAAGCCCCGTGCTTCTTTAAGTTGCTCAGTCTGACAGAGCACCTTCCCAGTACAGGGCTGTGAAGGAAGCAGAACACTGCCTTCAGCCAGACCTCGGCAGCAGCAAACAGTAAGGAAATGCCTACGATAGTGTCAGACCACTTGCAGACTGCAGGATGCTTCTCGGCCACCTTTGAAAATAAAATTACAAGATGGCAAGGGGTGGCTCCTTCTTGCCATCCAAAGACCTTGCGTCGTTCTCAGAGATGTATCCTGGTAACAGGCACGGTTACCTCTGTTAAGCTTCTTTAAAAGATTTTTGTTTTTACACTTTTGAGTGTATGCCTGTACATGCAGATGGAGGCCCGAGGAAGGGGTGTCCCGCTCTTCCAAATCCCATGATATTTCCTTGAAACAAGATCTCTCACTGACTCTGGAGGTAGCCTGGCAATCAACAAGCCACTGTGACCAGCTTTTCCCATCTGCACCCACAGTGTTGGGGATACAGGTGCCTGTAACCACCATGGCTTTTTATGTGGGCTTCGGGGTTCTGAGCTCAGATGCTCATTCTTACACAGAGATACTCTTAACGCAAGTTACCTCCCCAGTCCTAATCATACCTTTCTATGTGTAGCACAATTAATAAAGAACCCAGAGACAGAAACTGGGGTTCAACTTGAAGGTCAGAAAAGCAGAACAGCCAGCCACTGGCTCTTACCTCTACTTCAGTATGAAATGGCAATCCTGCCTCCAGGAATCTCAGAATGAGACTGCATCTGAGAGCTGTCTCATCCCATCTTATATTCCTCTCTAGTGCTGAAATTAAAGGTGTGTGTGCACCACTATCGCTTGGCTTCTATGACAAACTAGTGTGGCTACCGGGGTTAAAGGTGTGTGTCACCACTGCCTGGTCTGTGCGGCTGGGCAGTGTGGCTGTTTTACTCTCTGAACTTCAGGCAAGTTTTATTTATTAAAATACAAATGAAGTATCGCTACATCTATACAGACTTTTGAACCCTTTGATGTTGAAATGGGGTTTCTGCCATTAAATACTGTTTGGAAATGTGGTCTCTACAGCAGAAGAAGGCTGCTGTTTGTGTTCCAAAGCATCTTCTGTGCCACTGCTTAGGTCAAAGGGCAAGACAAACCAGCCTCACCACCGTAAAGGTTCAAGTCAAATCTTTGGTAGTCTCCAATTTTTTTTTTTTCAGGAGAGACACGAAGACGTGGAATTGCTAGGGAAAATGAATGCATGTTCTAAAGACCACAGTGCCGCTTTCTGGAGATGTTGCCTTAGCCTGACTGAATCAAAGCGTGGGTGTATATGTGTAGAGTCTGAGCACACACTAAATCACGTTATGAGGGCTTAAGCAGCATAGACTACTATCCACGGGGGTCTTACACCAATTCCCCCCACCCCACAGATCCTAAGATCCACTGCACAATTCTGGGGACACACCTACATGGCTGTGTTCTACATTGCAGCGTTCTGTTGACTCCCTTCACGCTTCACATGTGAGCTATGGTTTGGGGAGAAGAAGTTCCTACCAGTATGTTTTCCCTTAGGGTGTTGCTAGTCACTCTGGCTGACCTCTAGACACGTTGTGCCTGGCTCAGACGGAAGGATCCTCAGCCCAAACTGCAGCCTCATTGGTGAGCTCACAGCTGCTCTGAACATTGGCTCTGGAAGCAGGAACCTTCTGGTCTATGTGTCAGAGTCGTCTCCGATTCCCCCTGTCCAGGGCCAGCCTGGATTCCCATAAGGGGGTGCTGTTCTCTGCTTTTAGCAGTATGTTCAGAAGGGGAATGCTGTTTTGATTGTTTTACTCATTACTCATGACACTGAGGAGCCCAGGCCTGTGCGGACAGCACAGAAGATATGGGCACCTGCACAGACGGCTTATCTGCACCCAACTCTTTCCTTATGGTGTGAACTTGCAAAGAGTGCTGCTATGGAGACAGGAGAGTTTGGATTTGAGCTCAGAACAGACAGCTGTCAACGTGACGATAGGTTTGCCCATCTCCTGCCATACTCCTCATACTTTCACTCATAAAAGAAGAAGTCCGGATAATTTCACCTATTTCCATTTCAAATCTGTCGTATCTACACCAAAGCTGGGTTGTGAGCTCCCGGTAGGTGGAGACCAAGCACCTCCTCCCACAAGCACCTTATACCTCCTACAGAGAAGGAACTCCATGGTCTCTAAGAGACTTGAGACAAGGCTGAAGATGTTCTCACATTGCCCTGTCCATCTCCAGGCAGAAAGGGAACACCTTATGGCCTCTATCACTCCAGGCCTCATGGTTACTTGTGTCCAGAAGCAGGAAACAATGTGGAGCACCCACAGCATCCCCTGCCCCCATGAGCTCATGGCTCCTCAACAGGAGACAGAACGGAGCACCCTACAGCATCCCCTGCCCCCATGAGATCATGGCTCCTCAACAGGAGACAGAATGGAGCACCCTACAGCATCCCCTGCCCCCATGAGCTCATGGCTCCTCAACATGGCCAGGTGTGCTTACCTGGTGTAGTCACAGAACACCTCCAGAGTCTGAGTGTCCAGCAGTAAGCCACACCAGGGAAACAGGCAGCAAGCAGGCAGCTGGTGTGGAGCTGCACCGTCCAGGGTACTAGTCTCCATGGGGAAGTTCACCATTGTCTTCTGTAAGTTTATGGTGCAGCCATACTCAGGAATGCCGTGGACCAGGGCCCTGGGTAAGAGAGGGAACACAGGTGTTCTGGGACCAGAGAGAGCGGGTCCTTGAGGGCACCCTAATGGAATGTCAGGCACAGTCTTGCTCTGGACTGTAGCCTACCTGCTGTCTTCTGTGTAAGCAATAGAACAATGGGGCCAGCTCAGAACAAAATAGGCAGGCATCAAACAAGTAGGAAGAGTCACATGACTCTCTGATGGTCATATCTTAGCATCCACATAGCAAGGCATCTTCTCCCTATGACCCCAAAAGCCTGCTTTCTTGTTGCTACTTTGAGGTATCTGCAGGCTCCAAAGCTACAGAGAAACCCTGTCTTGAAAAAAACAAAACAAAACAAAAAGTTGTCAGGAATGGCTGTTGTGGTGGTTTGAATAGGTATGGCCCTCATGTGTTTGATGCTTGGCCCATAGGGAGTGGCACTATTAGGAGGTGTGGCCTTGTTGGAGGAAGCTGTCACTGGAGCCAGGCTTTGAGGTCTCCTATTCTCAAGCTGTGCCTACTGTGGCATAGTTTACTCCCTGTTGCCTGCAGATCCAGATGCAGAACTCTCAGCTACCTCTCCAGCACCATGTCTGATTGCACACTGCCATGTTTTCACCATGATGATAATGGACTATCCTCTGAAACTGTAAGCCAGCCTCATAAGACTTGCTGTTGTGAGTCCGGGAGCCTACATGGGTCTGACCTAGGCCCTCTGCATGTGTGTGACAATCGTGTAGCTTGGTCTCTCAGGAAGGCTTCTAACAGGGAGAGCAGGACCTCTCCCTGGCACTTAGCTGGTTTTTGCTAACTTGTTCCCCATGCTGGATTACCTGGTCTTGTCTCAACCTGATGCGCCAGGCTTTGTGCAGGACCATGGTGAGGACCGCCCCTTTCCGAATGCAGATGGAGGAGTGGATGGGGGGAGGGTAGATGAGAAAGAGGACCGGAGGAAAGAAGGGAGGGAGAAATGGCTGGTATGTAAAATAAATAAAAACAATTAAATTAATAAAAAAGAGTTGCTGTGGCCATGGTGTCTCTTCACGGCAATAGAAAGTCTAACCAAGACAGCTGTGGTCACATCTCCCAGAAGGGCTTAGTGCCTCAGGCCTCTGCAAACAGCCCTTCTGTGGGCTCAGTTGGGGGGGGGGCGTGGGAGTTACTGTCTGTTGTCTCATCTGAAGACTTTCCAAACACTGGCATTGGCCTGGTCCCTCACTGCATCCTCGGTGAGACCAAGCTGGACCAGCCATGGGTGCCATACTGTCTTCCTTGGTGCTGCAGGTGTCCCGTGCCTGGCTGCATAGGTAAGATGTCCCTGCCACTCAGTAGAGGTGACACTAGGTCTTGGTAACAACACGAGCTCCAGGCAAGCGGAATTACAGACCTCAGCCACACACTCACCGTGATCATGACAGCGGAAACCTGGGCATGACGGTCCCTACCTGAGGAAGGCTTTTGCCTGGACCAGATGGGGTGTCACCAATAGAAAGTCATCCACAAAGCGTAAAAGCAGCCTATAAAATGAGACACATTGACAGGCTTCATGTAGAATCCACCTGTAAAGGATCCAACCTAAAACACTTTAAATATGGGAACGCACAAAGACAAAACAAAGTGATAAAACAGCTTTACTGTCTTCCTGACAGAAAGAGCTCTGGGGCACGTCACAGGTTTTCGGCAATGGCCTTTACATCTTGGACACGAAGCAACTGTAGCACCCGCCCAGTGAGCTGGAAACATGACGTGTACAGCTATGTCAACTCATGACCCGGACCCTTGGAGGGGTAAAAGGAAGCATTTACCCGTCCTGCTGCGCCTCCGCAAAAAGCTTGTTCTCCATGTCTCCGAAACACAGGCTGAAGAGCAGGGTGGACAGGCTGGAGCCCTGGGGGATGCCCTGGCACTGGACATAGCACCTGGGAGGGGGTGGTTAAGGTCAGAAGCAGCAGCCATGTGGGCTTACGCTCACGTTTGACAAACCCCCATGTGTAAATACGGACGCAGACATACATGAACATACACAGACACCCTTCTGTAGACATGCTCAAAGACTACATAAAAACAGTATTATCTACTACTGTCAGACCTAAAAGGAAGTACTGCCCTTATCTCTCCCATCCCCCACTCTTATTATAACCTGGGTGTTAGGGATACATCCCCATTCACTGACTCCAGGCTTTTCTTAAGTTTTAAATTTTAAACAGGAATGATAAGCAATCAGGCTCTTGAACTGAATATGTATCTGAGACCATTAGTAACAGAATGTTAGTGCAGGAACATTCCAGGGGTAACCATTTCTTCACAGAGAACACAATGGCACCCTTCAATCAAACATACATGTGGGTGCTGGCAGGGGTGGGTGCCGGCAGGGGTGGGTGCCTTCACATGATAAGGACAGGAAACTCACCAAGGGAACCCGTATGTGAGAAAGAGTAGGTGCGAGCTGACCTTTAACCCCTCGAACTGGCTCAGTCCCTTCTGCTGGAGTAACTGTCAGAGGAAGCTCTCCAGCACAGCGCACACAGATCTGACTGTTCAGTGTATCAGGCTGACCCACACGAAAACTAAGTTACCTACCACATGGATGGACTCACAGATCTATGCTCAGTACCTATCAGGACTCAGGAGCACCCTTTGCTGTGTTTGTGGAAACACACCCAGTTGCAGCTTGTGGTCTCCTAGTATGCACATTTAACATTTCCAATCACATCCTAATACATATCGTGACTTCTGATAATCAGACATTTCTTCTCCTACCTGACATCATCTCTAATAGACCGGGGTGTAAGCCTGGAATCCCATTCTGACTGGCACTCACTGGGGGCTCCTATGAGTCCAGTAAAAAGGAGCCAAGTGCATTGGCAGCGTTCCATTCTCTAGGGGGGGGGGGGGACTTTGGGTGCAGAAGGTCCAAGCAAAAGCTCAAACACTCAACCTCACATCTAATCCAGACACACAAGACAGGTCTTTGCGGGCTGATGGGTTGTTAGGCAGCTCCAGCACAGAGCCAGTCTCACGGGAGTCTCAGGGGGACCCAGCCACGGGCACTGCATTCTCTTTGTTGATGCTACACGTGCCCTGCAACTGGCTGCGCAGGCGAGGTGCCCCTGCCACTTTGTCAAAATGACAACAGGAGCTACAAGCATACAAAATTTTTAACTTCAATGGGGCCAAGCTTAGCCAGGAGCTCCCAAGGCCTTATGGGTAGGCAGCCCTGTGGCCCAGCCAGCAGAGGGCAAGAAAATTCTACAAAGTGAAGTGGGGAGGAAGGAATGAGGTGGAGGCAGCCGGTCAGATAAACTGTAGCCAGTTAGCGGGCACCCTGCTCAGCAGTAAGGATGGCCTCTACCTACCTGTACCAGCCCAGCCTCTGCCCACTTGCCCCATGCTTGTGCCCACCTGCCGCCAATCTCCATGATGCTGTTATGCACAAAGTGCTGGAAGAAGTCGAACAGGTTGCGGCCGGTCTCATTCAGAGAGAAGTTCTAGAAAACCAGACACAGGTAGACGGACGGGTGTGAGCATGCGGAATATTGCAGCAGGTTGCTACCAGATGCCCCTTCAAGACTGAGCATTCATGGTAAAGTAGGGGTGGGGGCAGGGCCAAGTGTCCCTGTATGACTAGGCTGAATCTGACTCAAGGTGACGGGGGTACATAACTTACAGAGCAGTGATGTAACCTCCTATGTCCTTATAGCACTAGGTCTGGAAACTTGCAGCTCACCCAGTACCCCGAGGAGCCAAAAGAAAACCATCCAAAACACTCAGTGAGCGTGGCTGCTCCAAAGGTGGAGTATGTACAAAGAAGGTTCTTTAAGAACCACCAACTTGTGGGAAGAGATCTCCTGTGTGTGGCATTGGGAAACACTGCTTCTGACACAATGGACCAAGACGAGGACCACAGAACAAGGCCAACTTGTCCACCCAAAGCAGGTGAACTGTCTTATGGTCTCAAGGTCAAAACTGAGGGAGGAGATACTTTTACCAGCTCACTAATGGGTCAGCTGGATTATGGGGGACAGAAGGGTAGAAAGGGCACTTCAAAGCAAGAGTCTTAGCATTTCCACCTTAGTAGCTACTGGGGGGCCTTGGTCATGGGAACTCTCCACCAAGGAGCATGTTGGTCACATTCCTGCACTGAAACAAACAGCAAAGTAGAGGACGAAAGGCCCCACCAGGTGTGGCCCACGAGTGGGAAGCCCCAGGACCTGCTCAATGACAACCGAGTTCCTCAGTGCGCTGGCATCGGACTCCTGCAGATGTGTCAGGAACTGGTCCATGTACGGCTGGAAGTCAGACATGGCGGAGACCTGCAGCAAAGAAGTCAGTACTTGAGGGGAACCAGAGGGGACATGGTTTTCTGGCTGGGACAGGCACAGTACAGTTGAACAATACAACAATGTATGTAGGGTCACTTCATGGTAGAGTCTTGTAGGGAAAAGAGAGAATCTAGCATCCCAGCAGGAAGAGTCACAGAAACAGCAGGTTTGACCACAGTCAGCTCTCTCCACAGATCAGATACCCCCATAATGCTGTGGTTACTGACAATCACAACACAAGCAGCACCCAGACTTCTCCACAGAGGCAGTGTGCAGACAGGAGGAAGAGCTGTCAGGAATAGGGAGGAGATGACATTTCCTGCAACAGACTCTCTAGGATGCCTGCTTTTTATCCAGTGGTCACCAAGGCCCATGTCTCCAGACAGGATGTCACTGGAGGAATACAGCGCCATCTACAGACAACACAGGGACAATTCCAAGCCTGTCAGGGGTGAAGCATCCGGGAGACAGGAACACTGGAGTCTCTAAGTAACCTTGGCTGTCCTCAAACTTGTCATACTTCTGTTCCATACTCTCATATGTTGAGACTGCACATTGGTGTTGAATCTTAAAACTTCCCATGTTAGGTTGCGTGTGTGAATATGGTCAAAATGCATTATACACACATATAAAGTTGTCATAATGAAACCCATTATTATGTACATTTAACATACAATAGCACAAAATAAACAAGAAACCCATGTGCCAAGTGGGTTTGCTGTAGTGCCAGGAGAAAAGCCACCCAGAGTAGTTAAAGTACAAGAATTAACATAGGAAAGAATAGCAAGATATACAGAAAATGTCTGCATTTTCAAAAAGCAAGAGGTTATCAAAAATTACAATTAATAAACAACAACAACAAAAAAGATTTGAACTGAATAATGAACTGGCAAAATGCCAGAATGTGTACGGCACTACTGAGGGCTCTCAGAGAGAAATAGGTAACTTCAGGTATTTACTTGGGGCTGCTGCAATGGCTTAGTAAGTGAAGACACCTACCACCAAACCTACTGACTTAAGTTCTATTTCCAGATCCACATAGTGGATGGAGAAAATTAGCTCCTACACATTGTCTTGTAACCTCTACAGAGGCACCATGACGGTTGCTCTGGCCAGAGCAGGGAAGGAATCAGTCCGGTGTAGTGATTACAAATATGCCCTTGGTGCAGAAGCTACAAGGCCACTGCAAATACCACACATGTAGAGTTAAACGTTTGCCTGTGAGTCTTGTGTGTCCTACACACAAGGGGAAGGAAGCCCCCTTGCGCCTCTTCCAGGCCAAAACTCTGCAAATTCCTCCCCCTTTAAACCTGCAGACCCCACATGTTTACTGAAGAGGACATTGGATCAACAAACTGTTCCAGAGCAAGGGAGGATAGCTGCAGATAGCTCCTGGAAGGGGAAGCTCCATTGAGAGTCCCATGGAGGGAGACAGGATGGGGTCAGACAAATGATTGTTGGCGCCACGAACACCCAAACCATAGACACGCCATTGTATGAACTTGCCAGAAGTGTGGACCTATCACAGCCTCAGCTGTGTTACTGACAGATCCCAGATATCCATGGTATGAGAAGGCCTGTGCCACCAACATGCTCTCAGCATAGATAAGAGTCCACTATGGTGTTACCTCTCTCCTGAAGGACTTATGGACTTGGCCTTGGCGATTTCTTTGAACCACTGCATACTGGCGGACACAGTACATGTTCTCTGGGTGTCTGATCATATTGGCGACAACCTCCATGAGCTTGTCCTGGGGAATGGCATCAAATGCTCCCGTCACATCTGCCTGCGGAACACACGTGAGCACTATTAAGCATGGTTGGGTCCAGGCCTTGGGGTCCTACTGGCTCTGCCCTTGGTGTCTGGGTTCTAACCTGCCTTTAAGCAAACCTGCAGGAGAAAGATACTCCGTGCTCCTGTACCGGCCTAGCTGCACATGCTCATCCTACAAATTTCCCATTCCAGACAAAGGATCCTGGAGCATACCCCAGACACTGCAGCATCCAGCATCCAGGTCCTGGTGGTAGAATCAACCTTGGCTACTTCTCTGAATGGGACCCATCGACCAATAGGATTCTCCTACAGGGTGCATCCCAGAGGAGTTGGACTATACTGTGCAGGGAATGCGTATTTAGCTCATGGATGTTCTGGGAGCTGGTTATCCTGGAAGAATGGGGTGCCCCTGCATCTTTGGTCTACATATGGTAACAGGCCAACACTCTAACCAGCTTAAGCCTACAATGGGTCACCCAGTGTTGGCTGCTCCGAGGACGTCCCTACAGCCCAGACCATGAGAGCAAATGTGATAGACAGGAGTACCAATGCCTACCTTAACAAAGTAGTACATCCTGGGTGTCCATCCCAGAGTTCGCGTGCGCAGCACGAAGGTCCGCCAGGTCCTGTAGACGTCATTCAGGCCCAGGACAGAAGCCCCCAGGAGGTTAGGATGCTTTTTCCGTTCATAGTTGAGCACGCTGAATAGCGTCTTGAGACGGTGGGTGAAATCCTGGGCCTGCACGGGGGCCACAGAAGACACATGAGAAAGGGACTTGACAGATTCTCCCAGACCACCCTGATTTCTCAGAATAGACTCCTGTAGCCCAGAGTCCTAGAAGACCTCTCCCACTAAGTCACTTGACTGCATTTGGGGCCTGCCCCAATCTGGTCTCACCCACTATCAAGGCATGTCCAGAGACACGTCCTCTGGGCTGGGGTCACTCACAAAGGTCCTCCACTGAGCTGAGGCATCAATAGCTTCACTTTGTCCTCTGGGGCATTACCAATGACAAAGTCACCCCACATACCTTACACAGCTACTGGGAGGAGTCAGAGCTTTTACGGACATCCAGCCGTGAGAAAGGGGGAGGCAGTGCTACTGTGGCCCCTAGCATGGAGGCCATATGGTGTCTACTCTACTTAGCAGGATCCCTGAGGTACTTCCAAGGTTTGTGTCCCAAGTCCTCTGCTCTTGAGATCATCTCCCTTCTCTAGGTCCTTCCCACATGCTGAGTTTTTGGACTCAGGAACAACCAGCTCTTTGTCTTCCCTCTTCTGTTTACCCAGGACAAAGAACTTCATGAGCCCTCACGGGAGCAGAGTGGAGGCTGCACTAGCAGTAAAGGAGCCAAGCGTGCTCACCTGTTTCTCTTTGTCAAGGACTCTGGTGCCCATGCTGTAACCCATGTTCACAATGGGCCGGAGACCACTGGTCTTGGGGATGAAACGCAGTCTGTATATGGGCGTGACCGGCCAGGCCTCCTGGTATTGCCTGACCTCCTCTCGTGACAGCTCCTGCAGCCGCACTCTCTTGAGGTGCTGCCTGTTACAGAGAGCATTGTGGAGTTATGACGTGAGCATGCGGGACATGCAAGAGACACATCCCATCGGGGTGGTTAGAAACTTGGGTCATTTGACACCTGGCCATGCTATGGGGCTACATCCAGGATCATAGCAACCCTCAACAACTAGACAACCCACGGAACCGTCTGGGCAGAGTACATGGCAATGTAGCCTGTGTTGGTACCTGGGACATCTCGTCCCACAGTCTGCCCTCAGTGTTCCTTTCTTGGGTGGTTCCATTGACCAGGACACTTTTGAAGCAATCTGCTGCAGTGTATGGATAACCTGGCTTAGACACAGGTGTGAAAAATAAAAAAAAAACACCCCTGCCCGCCCCAGGTATGTGTGTGCCAAAGTGTTCCAGAAGCCGTGTGCTGGCTAAGGATCCCACAAGCACAGTGGGTGGTGTGTAATACATAGCTACGGCTGGACCTCGGGGCCTCATGAAACATGGCGCTGGCTGGTAGTGGTGCACACCTTTAATCCCAGTGCTCAGGAGGTGGAGACGATCTCAAAGCCAGCCTGGTCTACAGAGCAAGCTTCAGAACAGCCAGAGGTACCCAGAGAAACCTTGGTTAATGTGGTAATCTGCTCTCTGCAGGCCTTGCCTGGCCTCTACTCTGCCTCTTCCGACTGGGACAGCAAATCCCAGCTCAATAAGCAAAGAACCTTAGCCACTCAGAGGCCCTGCCAGCTCTTGGAGTGGACCCTTGAGGTTCCCCACTGAGGAGGCTCCTCATAGGTGGGCGAACCCATCTGACCCACGTACCAAACAGGCAGATGTTCTGTTTGGTATGAATTCCTCCCTCTTTAGGGACCCTATAGATGGTGCAAACCCAACTTTTGATCTAACAGCCCAGAAAGCAGGCTCCCCAGTCCATGACTACACGGAGTCTATGTCCTGAAGGTCCACTGTAGACAGCAGACACTGATAACAGAGACGTGGTGTGGTACCTCACTCCAATGCTCTGCAGTTTGCTCCACACACTCTTACGGTAGAAGAAGAGCTGGTTCTTCTGGAATGTAGTTTCTGTGACGTAAAAGAATGACCTGAGCAGCTCTACCACGTATGTGTCCATCAGCCAGAATACGAACGCAGCCAGGATCCTTTCCCTCATACGGTGCTCTGCTGCAGGGACGCAGTTGTTTTCTGAAAGTAGTAGATACTCAATATTCATGACTAAGCCCAGACTCATAAGGTCCAGCATGGAAGCCCCAAAATGAGCCCAAGCGGTGTAGCTCTGGACATGCTGGGTTCTAATAAAATAGATCAATAAATTAGTTCAACGTTTTTTGGATGTGATTTATTTTTTATTTTATTTTTTAGCATGTTGTACACTAAAGTTCCCCGACAAAGCCGTGTTGGTGTCGGGACCCTACAGGCTTGCTGACTAGAGGTGTGTGACTGCTGACTGAGAGAGAAATGCTCTGAGCCATCTTTCCCTCCCCCAACCTCTGAATCTGACCTAGCACTGTGTCTATCCAGTGAATCTTTTGTGATGGGTGGACTCAGCAGACCCTAGCTTCTGCCAACTCTAAAGCTAAGAATGTCTTCAGATAGGGGCTAGGGACATGGTTTGCCTGGAAAAGTGCGTGCTCTAGAGGCATGAAAACTGACTTCTATTGTGTGGTGACCTGTACTTGTAATCCCAGCGCTCAGGAGGCAAAGACAGATGGATCCTATCTGAAATACTGACTCCAGGTGATCGAAGACGCCACCTGATGTCAACACTGAGACTCCACACACGCGCACAGGCAGCCTTCAGTGGGTGCTGGGGCTGTGATCCTGGGTCACACACTCCCCGCACTGACAGCAGTGCCGTTCAGAGCTGTGCAGAGCCAAGCAGAGAACAGACGGCTCTAACTGTCAAACTGGACATAAAGGTTCACTGCACCATGGGTCAGGATAGCTGTCCCTTCCGAGGGCCTCTGTGGATCACTCTGTACATCTCCAGACACAATGGGGCCTGCTTTATCCAGATAAAGCTGGTTTACCAGCTGTGATAAACATAAAGGAAACTTGGGAAGAAGAATAAGAATCCCAAAGGAGGCACAAGATAGGAGACAGAATGAACAGAGAAAGAAGACGTCAGGGGCTGGAGAGACACCTCAGTGGTCAAGAGCACTGACTGCTCTTGCAGAGGTTTCCAGCAACCACAAGGTAGCTCACAACCTCCTGTGACTTCAGTTCCGGGAGATCTGATACCCTCATTTGGTCTGCTCCAGGGCGCCAGGCGTGGCAGAGTGTACATATACATAAAATAACCGCTAGAAATAGGGAAGCCTGTTCCAGGACAGGCTTCAAAGCTACAGAGAAATCCTATCCTGAAAAACAAAAACCAAATAAATAAATAAAAAATAACAAGAATGATGTTTAACTTGGGTGTAGAGAGACTGAAGGCAAAAGTAAGTCAGCAGAGACACAGGATGTCATGGGAGCCCATTCTGGCAGGAATCAGCAGGGGTTACCTGGGAGGGAGCATGAGGTTAAAGGAAATGGAAGATTGAGAGAAACAGAGACAGAAAACATAGGCTAGCCTGGGAGGACTGAAGGTGAATACCAACCAGCCCTGAGTTTATTTCTCAGTCAGCATATATACTAATTACAAGCAAAAGTGCAGGACAACCCGCTAACCTCCTCCCTGCAGTGTCCTTGGGAATACCTCAAGTGGAGGTATTATCTCAAACAAGAATTTGGCTACCAGGCAGCTTCTAATCTCTAAGAGGAGTGCCTCCAGCTGGCCTACCCTGGCCTAAATCTTAATAGAATAATGTAATCTTTCATCTGGGCAAAAATGCTCTTTCTTATGGGCTATCTCAGACCTTTCTCACAACCCTTAAGGTTGCAGGCAGAGCAGGAAAGCTTGAACTCAAATGACTTCTAAGTCAGAATTGACTCCAGATGGAAACTGAGTCACACATGGCTACTACAGGAAGTTGGTGGAGATGCTGANCTTAACGGAATAATGTACTCTTTCATCTGGGCAAAAATGCTCTTTCTTATGGTCTGTCTCAGATGTTTCTCACAGCCCTCAAGGTTGCAGGCGGAGCAGAAAAGCTTGAACTCAAATGACTTCTAAGTCAGAATTGACTCCAGGTGGAAACTGAGTCACATGTGGCTACCACAGGAAGTTGGTGGAGATGCTGACCAGAGATGGACTGCGTTAAGGCTCAAATGTCAGGTGACCACTGGCCACGAACGGTGCACACAGCTTCTTACTACTCTAAGGTAAAAACAGAATGAAAACACAGGCAGCAGCAAGGAGATGTTCTTTACAACTGTGCAGACAGCAAGACGTGGGGGTGGGGTGGGGTACAGCAAACTGGCTGCTTTTTCAGGGAACTGGGGTTTGGTTCCCAGCATTCACATGGTGGCTCTCATCTGTAAGTCTGGCTCAAGGGAATGCAGGGCTCTCTTCCAGCTTCTGCAGGTACTTGACATTCAAGTGATACAGAGACGGACAAGTAAAAGCCCACACACATCATTTTAAAACTGATGAACGCGAACTGGAAATAATAGGAGCAGCACATTCCGGCACATTTCTTCCTGAAGGAGAGGAAGCCAGCCAGCTCAGCTTTCCAGCTAAGTGACCACTGTCCAACTGGTATAGCAATGTCTAAAAAAAATTCACTTGCCTGCTATGGAAAAGATCCATTTGGACTGCAAAAATGTGAAATGTTTAAAAGCAAAACTTAAAGGAAGAAAAAAGACATAGTAGGAAAAAAACAAAAGCAAGCCCAGCTCAGTCAGTCTGAGTTGACAAACTCAGTTACTGGGCGTGGTTTACACACCTGCAACCCTACTTCTCCGGAAGCTGAGGCAGGAAGGGCAGCCTGAGCAACTTAGCAAAAACCTATCTCCACAACACAAAACTTCACATTTAAAGAAAAAAAATCACTAGAGACGTGATATCCTGGTAATCAGATTCTCTAATCAGAAAGATAGAAAATCCTGCTGGGTATGGTGGCACACCCTTTAATGCCTGCACTCCTGAGTTCAAGGTCAGTCTTGTCTATAAATAAATAAATAAATAAATAAATAAATAAATAAATAAATAAATAAACTTATAACTAGTACATAACAATATTGCATGTAAATACCACCAGAAGAAGAAATAAGCCTATTTGTCCAGTCAGAGACGGAGGTATCCATCCCTCTTCCTCTGTCACGGCCTGGAAAGGGTGTGGACGTGACGTAGTGAACGCAAAAACCTCAGCACTCAGAAACCCAATGAACTTGTGCAGAAGTGCACGCTTCCAGCACCTTCAAATGGCTGGTATTATACAAACTATTCTTGAACTCTCGTTTAGATCAATTCAAAAGGAACATTCAAAATATTTCACACAGCCGGGCGATGGTGGCGCACGCCTTTAATCCCAGCACTCGGGAGGCAGAGGCAGGCGGATCTCTGTGAGTTCGAGACCAGCCTGGTCTACAGAGCTAGTTCCAGGACAGGCTCCAAAGCCACAGCGAACCTTGTCTCGAAAAACCCAAAAAAAAAAAAAAAAAAAATTCACACATTTGGAATTTTAAAATTCCTATGTAATAAATACATCAACCCCCCCAAAACAAAACAAAACAAAAACAATGGGAGGTCGAAAATGCCTCCAAAACCACTGATAGAAAAATTACCATCTATGGCAGCACTAGGTGCAGCTAAGGCAGCGTCCAGAGGGAAGTGTGTAGCCAAAGACCCAACCTATGATGACAGAAAACAACAACAAACTGAAGAGGCGAAGGTGGGCCAACCTCAACATTAAACCAGGCAAGGGAAGCCACAGGGGTCCTGGCTCTACAAACTCCGAGGTCACACACAGTCCCCTTCCCGCAGCAGGCCGGGTTCTTCTTGCTTGGGCGCCTTCACATAAGATGGGACAGGGATCTTCACTACTGTAGGGAAGTCTTTCTTTTATTTGTCTCCCCGCCACCCCTCCCCTTCGTGGACTGAGGAGCTGCACAGTTAAAGCTTAAGCATGCATCTGGTTCACTGGGTGAACTAGGAGAACCCTTAAACCTTAGGAGCCTCGCTTTCTACCAGGACAAATGGGTTCCGGTGCTGACCTGCCGTTGTTATCGGCAAGGCGCTGTACCACAAAGGGATCACGGATAACCTGTAGAAGCTCTCTCTAGAGCGTCTTCTCACCAGGTGCCGGTATTTCCATCCACTATGCACCTCTCCTGCACATCTGTTCCCCGGTGTCCCCAGCACTGAGAACCTGCCCCAGGTCTTGAACAAGAATCTTGGCTAGCACAAACGGGGCCGGAGGGAGTTTGGAGTCGGAGGCCATCGGATAGAACTTACCCAACCACTGACTGCATAAAGCCACGGCACCGCGGCGAACTCCTCATTGTCTCCCTTTTCTGGACCCCTGCTGCATTCAGTGGAGGCCAGCCCTGCTCACCTGGATTGCTGCGAAGCCAGGAGCAGTCCTCCACTTTCATTTTCCACATCAGCTCCTGCAGTGAGAGTTTGCCGTACTTCCCCAAGGAGATGAATTGCTTCACGTTCTTCAAGAAGCGGCGCTTGTTGTGCCTCGTACCCCAGAGACCTGAAGGCACCAGCTTTCGGATGCAGGCCCGCAGAAAACCATATACCTGCCAGGGACTGCTGTGTAGGCGGAGCAAATTAATGAGGTGCGGTGGGCTGGTGTTCAAGGCACCTGCCCCCTGGTGGGCTGCTGTCCGAAACCTACAATGTGACCTGAGGAGTCTGACGTATGAGCACCTTGCATGGTTCACAAGCAGCTGCTGGAATAGGGGCCTCATCTGCCAGTAGCGCCTTGGCAGGCGGCGTGTCTGGCATTGTGGTCCTGATGTTTGAGGCCTGGAGCCTAGAAAGATGATCTCCACCAGTCTCCTGGCCCCATTCAAGCTAGGCTGGAGGTTGTTGAGTAGAAATGAGGGGTTCAGCTTCTCTCGGCCACTTCCCCTGGAGTAGAGGAAGCGTTTGGTCTCAGTAAAAGGTTGGGGCTGAAAGGCATTTTGGCATAGCGGTGACTGCAGGTCTGTGGAACTGCATTTGTTCTCACAGAACACTGATCCGGAGAGACTCAGGTCAGGTGCCTTTCCTCTGGAAGACAAATTTCCCTTGGTAGCTCTGCTAGTAGGCACTGCGGGGAACTGGGCAGGCCTTGGCACCCGTGTTTTGCCTGATGGGGTTGGAACCGCCTGCTTGTCGGTTCCCTTCTTCCGTCTCAGGGCCAGATTGCACCTGGCCTTCTTGGATGAAGGCACACTTCTATCCGTGATGCTCAGACACCGCTTCACGCCTCGAGATGGCAAGGCCAAGGGTTTCCATGCTTCCTGGTAACAGCTGTTCCTGACCGGGTGTGTGGATCCAAGATGGATAAAATTTCTGCCCGCGGGTCGTGTGGGCCAGAATCTGGGGGGCACTGAGGGCCAGGTATCCGCGAGGCTATCGATTTGGTACAGGGGTGAGCCGCAAACCTGGTAGGCACAGGTCGGAGGCACCAGCAGGTAGAGCGCACAGCGGGTCAGAAGGCAGACCAGCAGGTCGTCCCCCACTCGGCTCAGCAGAAGCATCCATGCACGACTAAAACGCAGGATGTCAGTCACCAAGTTGGGAAAGTAGCTTAGCACGCTGGTTGTGAAGGCCAAAGGGGCCCCGCCTTGGGTCACGCAAAGCAGCGAGAAGCCAAAAGCCAGCACGTTTCTCTCGCCGCGCTCACAGAGTCGCTGCACGACCCTGGCCATCAGCTCCTTCAGAGATGATACCTGGGAAGGAGAAGAGGTCTTGACACGTGAGCTGGCCAATGTACTCCCGGCTCTCCGCCCCCAACCCACGGGGATCCCACCCAGAGGCCCACCTGGTGGAAGGAAAGGTCAGCAGGTGGAGGCTGCGAGCCCCAGGGCACACACACTAGGCACTGGGCCACCAACGTATGGAAGGCCTTTGGATCCCCAGGTTGCACAAGTCGCCTGCCCTCAGTTCCCAGGCGCCGCACGAAGGTTGCCAGCGGCCACACCTCGCGGTACCGGCTGCGCAGCAGAGCGCGCACTATCCGGCAACGGCGCGCGCGGGGCATCGCGCTCAAGGTCCGGCCCGGCCTCCCACGTGCGGGAACTTCGATCTAGGGCTGAGCACAGAAAACATCAGGACACGGGACAGCCCGCGGGGGATAAAGGCGGGGTCGGGACGGAGGAAGGGGCGGGATCCAAGCGTAGCGGAAGGGGCGGGGTTGCACTAATAACACTTTTCTGTCGGTGGTCCCCCAGTTGGCGCTTAGGGACTACCGGCCAGTCTTGTTCCTCCAGTGGAGTTCATTGTGCGGAAAATGTAACCCGAGTTCAGTGGTTGCGGGGAGTAACAGAGAGAGGCGCGGTCACGAAGGTTGCCCTCCACAGAAACCTTCTCGGTCCCCTTTTCGCTCTGAGCTGGGGATCCCAGGTGGTCTAGACTGGGGCGGGGTCGCAAGCAAAGACGCCTGTCCTTAACAGCCTGAGAATTCGGTGCTGGCAGTGGGTGGTGGCAGTTGGTATTCTTTCCAGTCAGGTTTCACAATTACCGCCGGAATTCGACTGTACAGGTTCTTAAAGCTTTATTGTGGTCCTACCATAAGCTCAGCTCCCACCAAAGGAGGAGGACCAGGTAAAGCTGTGTGTCCGCTTTTCTTACTGTCACAGCGGCCTTTACCCCGGGGTCCAGAGCTACGGGTCTTCTCCCACTCTCGACCTCAGGACAGCAGTCCTTCTAACCGGACACTGGCAGCTTTATCAGTACTTGCCAGCGCGCGCGAGTAGGGAACGTAAGTGGTGACAATACCCAGAGTTGTAGCTAGGCGCTGGGAAATAGGGAATCTGTGGTCTACACAGTAGCTCAATTTGGCAAACACTGAAATGCTAACAAATCTAACCTTTGGTGCCTTCAGTTTTCTGAGGAAATTGCTTCTATCCACCGATCTAGCATTTGAACAGGCCTCAAGCCCTCCCGACAGGCGCTTTTTCATATTTACTCCCTTGTAGGAGGTCTGCCGCCTTGTAAATGCTCAGGATTACAGGTGTTATTTTAGAAGTCCATTTAGTGGGCGTCAGCTTCTTTGAGGGGGTGTTTTTGAGGTTTGCCAGGTACTGCTACTTAGGAGATTTGGGACTGAACTGAGAAATTTGTGCCAACAAAGAAGTGGTTCCCCAAAGAAACCAGCACTGAAAACAGATTGAAAAATTAGAATATAGCTGGGCACGATGGTGTATCATTGTAATCCTGGCTCTTGGGAGGTGGAGGCAGGAGGATGACGGGACATTCAAAATCAGGCCAGCTGCACTTGTGTGAAGTGAGACCCTGCCTCAAAAAACAAAGAGGAGGAATGTGGGTAGCATGTGCTGACATGAAACCCTGGGTTCAAGCCCCAGAAAACCAAAGCAGAAAATACGTGTAGAAACTGTCCGTGAGCTATGATGGAACCAGAGGACACACAGAGAGCATACTTGTAGCAGGCCTGCTTTAGAAAGCTGTTCTTACAGACGCTAGGCCAGACAGAGGCTCTTTGGGGAGGGCTGCACCCCAGGAACTATCCCAGAGACAGCAGGTGGTAGAGGTTAGACCCTGCAGGAAAGAGGCAGAGGAGAGGACCCCAAGTGTCCCTACCCAAGAGTCTCTGTAGGAAATCCCTGGGGCCTGTCCTGTTCTCCCGCTGGCTTGTCAGCATCCAGAATCCCGCCAAGGCTCTGGATGTGACGCTAAGCTGCTGTAGCTTGCCAGGTTCAGACGTCACAGGAACACTGGTTTACTTCTTAGGGGTCAAGATGGGAACATGAGAACAGTAATCTTCATTTACATAGTTTGTCACCGACACCGCAATTTCATACCTATTATTGATCTGATCAACACCCAACAGTTTAGGAAGAATGTGAATGAATGCCACCGTGCACTTTTGTCGGCCAGAGGCTGGTGATTCCCTGACATCACAGACGGCAGAACCTCGAGAGAGTACGTACTGGTTCTGGAGTTGGTCTCTTCTCGGGATATGTTACCTTGTTCTGTTTCCTCGGTGCCACCTTAACCCATGCGGACACCACTCCCATCTCTGCTTCATCCTGCACATTAAACTGCCTATGAAAACCAATAAAAAGTACTTAGGGCACAAAAATCTCTTTGAATGTCGTTATTTAATCCCCATAGCTTGGCAAACAGAGCTCAGTTCTTTTTTTACATCTTTGGATTTTCGAGACCTTGAAAGTTATTTGATGAAATTTAAGAAAATAGTAAGATAAACTCATCCACTTGGACTTGGAAAGGTTGTATTTGCTTATGGAATTAAGTTTCTTAATTGCTCCTGTTGTAAGCACATGGCTGGCTAGCCTATGTGGTTCTTTCTCAGAGGATGGGGTGTCTGTGAAGCCCTTTAGAAGAGAGGTTTCTTCCAGGCTGGGCAAATCATCAGATCCGATGTGAGCTGTTTGCAATCATGAATAGCAAGGGGAAGAGAGAGAGTTGAATGATTAAGCCACTGGCTTCTGACTTGAGAAAAGCGGTTCAGGTTTTCCGTATTTAAAGAAGGTGCCTAGAAGGCAGAGACAAACAGATCTGTGAGTTCAAGGTGTAGTAGCGTACACATTTAATCCCAATGCCTGGGAGGCAGAGACAGGCAGAGATCTCTGAGAGTTCAAGGACAGCCTGGTTTACAGAGTTATTACTGAGTTGCTGTACGTGAAGCTTAGAACACAGATATTATAAATTTGGTATTTTGTTTTCAACTCAGGTGAAAATATTTCCTAAGTCCCCCCTTTTAAAAGACAGGGTCTTTCAATATAGCCCAGGATGGTCTCAAATTCATGATAATTTTCCTGCTTTAGCCTCTCAAGCGGTGGGATAACAGTCACGTGCTCCTTTGCTTTCTTTTTTGACTCATTTCAAAGTGTTGTTTTTAAATTGTCTTACCTCCAGGAATAGGGTCTTTACTGGTAAACATTCCATGTGTTCTTTAAAAATGCGTTTTGCTAATGTTTAGGAAGGGTCCATAAATTTTAACTATATGATTATGGGAAGTGTGTTCTGCATGCCTCCCATATCCTTATAGACCTGCATGCTTGTCCTGTCATTGCTGTGAGATTTTGTCATTTGATGGATATAAATGTTACTTTCTCCCTAGAGGTCCATCTCTGATCATTAGTTCGAAGCTCTGAGGCTAGCCACATAAACATGACTACCATGTCCCTATGGCAAAATCTTATATATGAGAAGACATACTTTATACCCTGGTCACATTTTCTCCTAAAACCTATTTTACCTGACACTAATGGGGCCGGTCTAGCTTCATTTCACTCAGTATTAATATATTATTGCTTGCTTGCTTATGTTTTTATATTTAAAGCAGGTTTCTTAAAAGCTGCACACAATTGGGGCTTTTTAAAATTCAGCCTGGCAATCCTCGCCTTTTATTTGGAGATGTGAAAGTCATTTGTATTTAATGTAACTATTAGGATATCTTGGCTTAAGTTTACTATGCTGCAATTTTCTGTTGGACCCATCTGGTCCTCCTTCTTCATTTTACAACTTTGTCTTCTCTTGTGCTTATTGGGGTGGGGGAGGAACAAGGTCTCAAGTAGCCCAAGTAGGCCTTGACCACACATGTAGATGAGGCTACCCTTGAACTCCTGATCCTCCTATTTTCTAAGGCCCGAGATTATACGTATGTATGGCTTGGAATGAGTACTTACATGGTTCATTTTATCTCTAATAACGACTTGTTTGGTTTGAGGGTTTATAGTATGCATCTTTAAACTATCAAAGTGTGCTATGTCACTGTAGGGCAGGCTTTGAGGTTTCCTACACTCAGGTGACTGCTTAGTGTTTGAGCCATTTCCTGTGGTCTGCAAGCTACTCCTCCAGCACACCTGCCTGCATGTGGCCATGTTCCCTGCCGTAATAGTGGACTGAATCTCTGAAACTATAAGCTGCCGCCTCAACTAAATGTTTTCAAGAGTTTCCATAGTTGTGGTGCCTCTTCACAGCAACAGAAACCCTAACTAAGATAGGAGTTAGTATCAGGGACTGGGGTATTGCTGTGATACGCCTGACCGTATTTTTGTTTGGAGTAATATGGACGTTGTGAGTCTGAGTTGGGAAAGCAGTGGAATGCTTTAAGCATTGCTTAATAGTCCATACTATTAGGGGCATGGAAGGCAGTGATGCTGAGTGCGATTTGATGAACTGTGGGGATCAAGAGGTTTCAGAGAAGAAGAATGTTAGTATGTGGCCTAGAGATTGATCTTATAATATTAAAGTGGCTGCTTTTTGCCCTTGCCCAAAGAGACTGAGGTTAAAGTGAAGAGTTTTGTATTAATTCTACTAGCAGAGAAAAATCTCAAAACAGCCTAGTGTAGAGTCTGCTTTGTGGTTACTAGTATTAACTCTAATGAAGATGTATAACAAAAAGGAAAAATATTTGAGGAGATAAAACAGTGCCGTGGCTGGTATTTTAATCTTTTGGTTTTTTGGTTTCTCCTGAAAATTTTATTTTCTAAAGCTGTCCTGGCATCCAGAGCTGTATGGTTTTTAACAATAGGTGCTGTATCATTTAATCGTTTTGTGGAAGGTTTCCCCCATTCTGGCAGAGAATGACTGAACTACATTTGACACTGGGGCCTGTGAGAAGCCCCACCAGGCATTTCCTAATGGCAGGAGGTTACTGACGTGGGAGTGTCATATATCAATCTGTTGATTTCATTGGTTAAGTAATAAACACACTGCTTGGCCTCACAGCTTAGAACATAGGTGGGTGGAGTAAACAGAATAGGATGCTGGGAGGAAGAGGAAGTGAGCTCAGACTCTGCTCTGCTCCCGGAGAGACTTGACAGCTCTGCTCTGGAGCAGAGATGCCATGCTCAGCTCTCCCGGGTAGACGCGATAGCTCTGCGCTCAGAGACACACTCGATGAAGCTCCGACTTCACTGCTAGAGTAGACAAACAGCAACTGGGATTCCATCGCTACCTTCCTGGCTAGTGTAGACAACTGATTTCTACATGTTATGACATCCAAAACATTGTTATAAAGATTGATGTGGCCGCCAATTAAATGATTTAAGCACCATGAAAGCCCATTTTTAGCATGTTTCCGTATGATTACTCCAGGCAGATCTAGATTCCTATCCCTGTGCCCCCCCAGCTTCT